ACAAGCTTGTCCTTCCTGACGCTAAACTTCCCTCACAGTGCTACAGACTTTCCAACCTCGGCCACAAGTGAAACAGAGGCGTTGGGGACAGCAACACATCCACCACCCCACCCTGACTTACCCGCAGAGTGCAGTGTAACCTCTTCAAGCTTCGTTTTTGCAATTCTTAACTTATGAATACTTAACTTTGCCATCTTTTTGCCCTTTTAATACAGGGGTCTGTTTCATTTTTTAAATTGAGATCTCTTAAAGGTTCCAAATCTTACTAATTTGAAGTGATATATTAATTAATGAAGTGATTTGCAGATTTCCCAAAAATGTAATTGCATTCAAGGAGTAAACAGCTGTAAGATGGCTGAGGGCTAGATACTGAGTTTTCTCATGTAAAGCTGAACGACTGAGTTGAAGCTTTAATGGCAAAAGAGCAGTAAGCCTTAGCTACAGCTACTGCCTTAATTACAGCCTTACCTAGAGTTACTGCCTTCACTGCAGCCTTAACTATCCACTGCTACTGGAACCATTTCTTCAGTATCTCCTCGTCTCAGCTTTTCTCTGTGATCTGTGGCTGTTGCTTTTTCCACTCAGGGTGCTCTAACATATGTCCTTCTCCTGAAGAACTCCCTTTATCTGTTTTGCTACTCCTCTGGCATCCCCTTCATCTCAGCCCTTTGCTACCCAGCATGGGGGAAAAGCACCAGCAGCCTTTTGCACTAGTGGGTAGCTTCTGTCTCTGAAAGCCAGCTTGTCGTCAGTGATTGACACAGGGGGAAGAAGGGGCTCTAGCATCCAAGCAACAGCAAAAATAGCTAGACATGGGAGGACTTCAATGCACCTGTGCAACCTCCTGTGTCAAGGTAACTTCATGCATAAGAAAAAGAAAGGGAAGGGGACTTCTTGTTCCTCCCTCTCTGCAGAAACTGCCTCCAGCTGTGAGGCCTAAAGAATGGCTCTCAAAGAAGCTTTTCTTCTTCCCCAGATAGTATCACCTTAAGGTGTGGGACCAGAGGACCCAGGTGTGGACACTTACCTTTGATGGGACCTAGGAACCCATCAGGCAGTGTCACACATGATTTGTCACACTGTCGAGTACGATCACACAGCTTTCTCTGTGCTTCTTCGTCAACCAACTGCTTCTCTGGAAAAGCAGTTACTGTATAGTCCCAGATAAACCATACCTGGGCAGTTGATTTGTGTGTGCACAGTGCAGGTCTCTCTTACCTACATGATGAGACCTGTAGGATTTTCAGATGAAATTCAGGATAGATACATCAAGGATATGTACATTTCCTTCTGAATGCCTGACTTACCTGTCCAGGGCTGTCCTGGACTTCACCTTTGCACTCTGGCATATTTCCTCTGGTTGAAATCCCACGTAAATGCTTTGCTAAGGTCCCCCAAGATCCTTAAGATTAGTGTGTCCCAGAGTCCTAGCTGTGAATGACCGTTCAGAGAGCCCTTCCTGCCCTAGGCAGACTAGCCTGGGAAAATCCACATCACCCTTGAAATAAACACTGCCAACATCGGTGCTTTTTTTGCAGCAATAACTGCAGGCAGCAACTGCCTCTTGATCTTGCTGAGCGATACACTTATTTGTTATCAAGGGCAGATTGTGGCTTTTGCTGCACAGAGACGGAGCTGAACGATGAGGAGACAGCCTAGGGGAAGAGGCAGGGAATGTTGCTCTTGACACACGTATATTGAATAATTAGTGATAAGAGCCAAAGAAATATTCATGACTCTGTAGAAAGATAAATAGATTTTTGATTAAATTTGAGTTTTCTCTTTAAAGCGGTTGAAGTCACTCTGTGATTGGCAGCATGGAAATGAGTTTTCTATGGATTCTGGCTGGCCAGAGGATCCCTTTTAGAGCTGTTAGCCAAGATAATGCTGCAGATATCCAGCTAGCGTGTGTTGGCAAGAATTCAGAATGGCTATGCCAGAAGCCTGTGCTCTTGGGCAGTTGCAGTGCAGCTGTTGAATGATCAAATCCATCCAACATGTTCAAAGGATTTATTATAGCATTTTCTCCACCCATTCGCCTAGATTTTAGCAGAATTTCTGTGGTGCCTTGTAGACACCTAGCAGGTTCCACTGCACTCTAGCTGACCTCAGGAAGGTAAATGCTTTAAGTGCATTTGCTAGTGGGACGCATAAGTAGGTCCATACATATCTTGGGTTCTTCACAACACTTACCTACTTCTTTTCAGGGATGTTAGCACAGGAAGCTGTCAAGGTGGTTTCATTGCTCAACATCCACAATTAAGAGTTCTGAAATCTTTGTTGGAGTCATTGCATGCAACTAAAAACTCAGAAGCACTCTGCAAATTGGGATACTGACTCTTCCAGTGAACCCCAGCTGGGATGGCCACCCAAAAAGCATTGTGCTGAAGGGTGATGCTGACCTGTACAGGATAACGTGCAGGTTTTGAGAGGTCTGCCTTAAGTCTGCAGCGCAGACACAGACACCACTGTCGTAGCCTTTAATGTACTGTGTGTCTTTGTGACTCACCTTCTGGAGGAAAGGCAATGATAGCCTCATACGTGACGGAAACTAAAATGCATGCCAGACTGAGAAACTCAGGCACTTCAAGTGACAGGAGCTCAATGGTTACCTAGATTGTGTCTTCATTCCTTTATTACCCCCTGATGTGTTTTCCAATAAACCTATCATGACTCAGTTACACAGGACATATTAGAACTGGTCTTTCTGTTCTGGGGTGACTGAATTGAGTGAACATCCATGAGCTGATGTCATTCCCATACTCTTTTTGCTACCATGTGTTTTTCCAAATTATAGTTGCATTACTGCCTTCCCTACAGCTCCCGTACTGCATTTCCACTGTTCTGCCTAAGCAGTCTAACCCTGGTGGCAGTTGTCTATGCTTGTCCTTGTCCCAGTTCTGGTGCTGCTCCTTAATTCTGATTTGTGTGTACCTTAAGGGTGGCCTGTACACTGTACACCATTTGTATGATATGAAAAAAAGACACCACCACTAGTCAAGCATTTTCACAAGAATAATTTAACTTGTCTTCTAGAAGCTTGTAAAATCATGCATTAGTCCAGTGACGTGACTGTTTAGTGGTTAAGGCTTTGGTGTATTAAAAAGAATAGGTGTGGAGTAGTTGTTGGATTGCTATAAAGAAGCAAATTCAGAGGTAATGATATACGTTGGAGGTTTGGGAACATGTACATAACTTAAAGCAATTCAGTGTCTCACTCTGATCTCACTTTCTCTCCAGCAGTGGCCAGCAATATGCTGCAAGTCCCCCACATTGGCCCCTGCTTAGTCAAGAAGCAACAATTTTATTAGCATTACTGACTGTTTTAGCTGTACTTCATTATTGTTGCTGTCACCCTCTTTGTTACTATGAAAGCTTTTGCTCTAAAAGGTTAAAGCCTCCTGCAAATCCCAGTGAATTCAGTCACAAAACTTCTCTGAAGTATGAAAGCTGTGGTGGCACTGCTTTTGTTTGAGTCAGAAGAGTAGACTCATGGTGAGGTTCTAGCCACCTTTTTCAAACTGTGGCCATCTGCAGCCTTTAAAAACATGAAGTAACCTTGTCTGTGTCCGTACGGCTGCCAGCGACAGAGCTGCCACGGGAGCCCAGGTACTCTGTCCTGCCTGCTAGGCACAAGTCTGTTCTTTTTGATCTCCCAAGGGTCAGCTCTCGCCAGCTCTCTTGAGGGCAGGCTCTGGTTTTTGTTACTTGTTTTGTCTCTCGAATCAAGGTTTTTAAAATCCAGTCTAAATTAAGACCCTGAGGATCACTACTGAGCAGATAGACCTGGTTAGAATACCTGTGATGACCTTTTAAATGGGGGTGGGGGGGGGTGGGGTGTTAAATATTGTACTAAACTTCTGAATTCCACCTTTCTTAAAAATTGTGAGGGATCAACTGCATTTCTCTCTCCTCACTTAAGCTTTGCTGTCAAGGTAGCTGCAGTCCCAAGTGTACCCTGAGTTTATTATCATGGTCTGCCAAAAGCTGTGATACCAAACCAGGGCGTTCCATGCCCATGGGATGATATTTTGCCATAAGATAAGTGTAGTGTGTATGGAAATTCAATTAATGGGCTGTCTCGCTGGGCATTAATGTAGCATCCTAGCACAAAGCTAACCTCACTGTGCTTCTGTTCTGCTCATTACTTTGTGAGACAGGTATTGCCCAGCCATGATTGCGTTTGTCACAAGAAACAAATGCAGAAATGCAGACAGGCTCAGAGACTGCTGGGAGGTGTCAATATAAACAATAGCATGATTTGCACACAGGTCTCAGACAGTTTGCATCCCTCTTACTTGTCAAGTTACTTTAATGAAGGCTATAAAATAAATAGCTGTGACTATAATCTTTAGGAATTAAAATGATTACCTGGCAAGTTGAAGTAATTAACTATTCTCAGCCAGGAATCAAACCAGAGATAGATGGGTAGAAGGATGCGAAAAGAATATCTTAAGTCACTGATAATAGTACTACTGTCCATCCTTTTTAGTTTTTTCAAAGAAAAAAGAAATTGCATGTTGAAGTCATGAATCAGCAGCTTTTATGACCACTGGAGTAATTGAGAGCAATCTTAGCAGAAGAGATGCAAGGCGTGGTTTAGGGATGCATGTGTTTGGTCTGAAAATACTGGTCTTTTTCCATGTAAAAGGCTATCCAGTGTGGGCCTTCCTTCTAATTAGATACAAGGCCAAGTTAAAGGGGGAGATTAGAGGGCCAGAATTCTGTATGGTCACAGAATATGCCTGGTCTTCTCTTCCTTCTTCACTTTTAAGAAATTCATAGTAAAGCCACAGAATTTTGAATTATGCTAGTTCTTGACTATTTTCTGAGTTTCTTAGAAATATGTTCTCACTGAGGTAAGGAAGAAAGTGCTGGTTTTGCACACTTGCATTCTGTATAATCAAGCCGGTTGTGGTTCTGCTAAACAAAATGGAAATGCGTGTAATCCATAAACACCAGGCTGTTACATGCTCATTTGACTGTATTTTGTGTTTCAGATCACCACATTATGCTTGCCCTGAAGTCATCCGGGTAAGTTGATTAACATTAGTGTGTATAAATATATTTTTTTAGGTGTCACTTGTTGCAAGTATGCAGATAGACCCTCTGTACAGGAAACCTGTCCAAGGCAGACAGCATTGGAAAGGACACAAGGAACATGACTACGGTTTTGTTTGTTTGGCTCAGCTCTGAACCAAGCCACGTCGACCATAAGAGGCAAATGATCGTGTGTTATTCTCACAGTACCCTTCGTGCCATGTGATCAAACAGAAATGCGGTAGCCTCATTTAAGTTGATCTTTCCACCCAGGGGAAGCAGTCCCCTACACTTTCCTTTCTCTGATGTAGCTGTCATTTTGGTAGAAGAACCGGGGTTGGCTGTCAGTGGTGTTGATTTCTGTTAAATGTTACAAACTACCCTTTCCCTCTACTCTTCCTTTGTCCTCTGAAAATAGGTATCTCAGATTTCAGTGGCCAAGGTTTCCCGCTTTTAAAGCAGGCCTTTAATGTAAAGCCAAGCAGGAAGCGTACAGAAGAGACTGTCCAGACAATGCTATGAGTTCGCAAACAATGCGACTGGTGACAAGCTCCCTGAAGAACCAGGGAAGAGAAAAGCATCTTTTTGATGTCCTTAATGCACCTCTGACACTGTTGAAGTGCCAGGTCTAATCATTTGTGAGTGGTCAGCCATTCCTCCCTGCTCCCAACTTCTTAGCCTGTTCTTGCAGATCCGAGATAAGACTGTAAGCTGATGTTCATAAAAATTCAAGTAATGGGTTGTGTCCTGGCCTCCTAGTGGGGAAGGCCACCTCGGGAAGCAGTTGGCTGAACTGAAATGTGGGGGTTCCCATTCTCCCCTCTCTTGTTCTTCAAGGATAATTAATTCATTTACTAGCGAGCAGTCTTTTGAACCTGTGTGTCATTGCTGCGCAGGGAGAAAAATACGATGGAAGGAAAGCAGACGTCTGGAGCTGCGGAGTCATTTTATTTGCGTTGCTAGTGGTGAGTCATCTTCCTTGCGCTATCCTTTAAAAAGAAAAGAAAAATCTGAAAATGCTGCTGTATTTAATGGCGATTCTATTGACATCATGTACAGATGGGGTTTTTTTAGTTCCCCTATTTTTGTATCTCTCTGTTGCATCCCTTCCTCTTACTTCTACATCAGTCCAAAAGGAAAAGCATGAGGAATATTTCACTGCTGCTTTGAAGTGCTGCTGCCCTGCACAGGAGAGCATAGACAAGTGTCAAGAACTTGTCTCCATGAATACTGTTTGCTGTGTTGTGATACTGCAGCACATTTTTTGACTGGCAAGGATGTGCATGATTACAACTCCAGGATACAGGGAGTGTCAAATAAGTTGTTCTTCACAGGATCAAAATATGGCTGGGCTTGGGAAGTATTTGTTTTTTCTGCTGTATGTAGATATGTGTTTCAGTAGGTATAGGCATACATTAACTGCAGTGGTTTATCAAGAGAAGATTGGAGTGCATCAGTTTTGTTTCATGCAAGTATTGAGCTACATTTTAATTTGGTACACTTGGGAATATAAAACTGAGCCAGTAGTACAAAGTTTAAATTAGTTTCCATCTGGCTCAGTAATACTTTCTTTAGTATTCCAAATGTGTTATCTTGTAACTTATTCTTCTTTCATCAAAGTTTCAGTTCTCTGTGGAATTTGTATTCTGATTTGCAGTGGTAATGTGATAGTCCTAAACATAAAACAACTGGATGTCCAGCTGAAGGCAGATAGGCTTGGCATTT